CTTTCCTGATTAAACTGTCTTTATCTCAATCCACGAGTTTTTGCATTTTCACCTTTCTGATTCTCTCCCTATCCCACTGGGAAGGGGAGTGAGCGAGTGGCTGGTGGGGCTGGGCTGCCCACTGGGATTAACCCACAACAGCAGAGAAGATGAAAAAGATGACCATGGGATAAGGAAACCTAGAAAAGTCTGAGAGGCGCAAGTTCAGCCTGATAAGGGTAGAGAATAAAACGGAGGTGAAAGGAAGGGGCAGGACAGGCAGAGGAACAGGAGGTACGAGGTCATGTGTACAGCGGACGAGGGAAGAGCCTAGGACCATTAAAGCGTAGCCTCCTGCAGAGCCCTGGCTCTTACAGCCACTGAATCCACCTTACCTCTGCAAACCCATGGGCAAAGCGCTTCCTCCCCATTTCGGGTTGGCTGAGGGAGCAGAAGAGCTTTGCTTGCCGTTCCTCTGTTACCTCAGGAGGTCCCAGTCTGTGCCGAACCTGAAGGCAGCGGCTCAGATGATGACTCATGGGGGCGTCACCACGATGCCACACAACGGAGTTTCCTGTGCTGGGAGTGTAGTTCTGCTTTCACTCTCGCAGTGGTAAATGACAGGATTGAAACAGCAGCGAAAGCACAAAGTTACACATCAAAGTTAGGAAGTGCCAGAATTGAGTTTCTTTGCCACTTTTATTCCCCTACTTCCCTTCCCCCTGCCTATTTTGTGGTCCTAGCATTAAATCACCCGGTTTATTTCAGCTCCTCTTCCCTGGCACAAGGGGAGTTGCTCTAGGCATGAATCAGCACGCTGCAATGAAAGAAATGCCGCATAGTTGATCTCTTCTCATGTGTCGCAGAAATTAGGCAATGCGTAGTGAGTGATCGGGGCTGGAAGAAGACAAAAGCTGACCTGCTGGATGAAGCAGGCCATTGGAAAACAAGCGCTCGTGGTTTCTGCGTTGGGGTGGGTTGACCACTCAGACTCAGCTGCCTACAGGTGGTCGCTTCCTCTAAGCACGTTGGTCAACAACTGCTTCACCCAGAGGCTTAGATTGATTTTCAGACACGAAGGACACTGTTACCAATGAGGTCTCTATATCACCCATAAGGCATGGTTATGATCCTAACAAATGAAAATGTCTCAGATTGAGCTCTCAGAAATACTGCTTGGGACTTCAGAGACTGCAGCTCAGCTCCTTCTGTTCGATGAGGATAAAGCATATCCTTACTTCACTGTGTGTCCTAAAAAGCAAGCAGTATTTGTGAAGCACTCTGATACTTAACTGGCATAGGAAAAATTGAATAAACTAGTAATTCTGTCTTTGGAACAAGAGCTGGGTAGTGAGTAGTGACAAGGGTATGGAATAATGCATTCAAAAAGAAAGTTGCAATGAAATATTTAACACGTTGATGCAAAGATGCTGTGGGCAGCATAGTATGAGAGAACAGAGTGTCATAATGTTTTGCAATCACATTTGCAGTAGGCCATGCTGGAGCTTCATGGATAACCTTAATTGGGTATTTTTTAAATTTTGAGTGCTTAGTTTTGTAGCGCTAAGACCGTTCTTTTGCCATAATATTTTCCATGTGTGCAAGTGTTTAATATAGAAGAAAAGAATAATAACCCGAGCTAGTGAAGAAATTACTTACCTTCCTCTCCAAATTAGTTTGGTGGAACATAAATCAGCAATTTTCACACTTTAATTATGGTTTTGTAACTGTGCTGTAGAGCAAGGTATCTTCTTTGGTAGTGAAAAGATGTTTTACTTATTGCCTTGACTTGCTGATTCAATCTACTTGTCTACGTAGGGTGGACAGCATCATGCACACTGTTTGTCAGGGCATCTGGTGTAGGAATTTTTACTTTATAAATATCTAAAGACACAAGTAAGTTATTAGAAAATATCCATCAAATTTTATGTCAAAATCCTTGAGAAAGTAGTTTTGATGATGTTGCATTCGGATTCCTAGGGAGCTAATTACTCTAGGTTAAACTATTTTACTTAACAAAAGAGATTCAGTAAAAACCTATCTGAAATTGTGGTTATATTTTTGTCTCCTACCAGAATGTCTGGAGGAAAATGTTTCTTTCTAATGTATTTGTAAAGAATACAAATTTGTAAAGAAAGCTCAGAATAAGCAGAGCACATATGGCAAGTTCTGAACTGCAGCAGGCTTACAACTAACTTTTCCAGGTCATGTAAGGTATACGTAGAGTTTGGGGCGGGGGGGGGGGGGGGGAGAGGGGCGGTGGCGGCGGCACAGGTTAGAAAAAGCAGACAAAGCAACAGCACCGCTGCTAGAAAAACATAATGCCCAGGGAGCTCACAATCAAAGATTTATAGCTTTATGGGCAACAATACTCCAAGAGACAAGACTACAAACCAGTCCCATGCTCAGGTAATTCTTTTTGCTCTCACCCTATCCATTCACCATATCCTTTTTCAGAGTACTTACTAGGCTGTCAGCATTGTTAGTGCCAACCCCACTGCAAACTACTGAAATGGGGAATGCTATTTAATGCCTTTTTATGGATTTCTCAGTTGATCCAGTTGGTTCCTGTTCAAATATTGTGTTCATTTTAAATGCTGCAACTGGTAGGGCAAGTAGGACTTTTGTTCAAGAATCTGTTTTTCAAATACATCATATTTAGAGATCTAGAAATAAGAAAAAATATTCAGAAAACATTTTGGTTCATTTTAGGTGATTAGCCCAGTTTTCATATTGTACTCCTTCAACCACTAATTATCTCAGGAGACCTTTTTTGCCAGGAAAAGGCTGCACTATGAATAATTCTTTCAGTATTTCTGCAGATGCTGACTTCTGAGGCAACTGAAAGTGGCTCTTCGGATGAGGTCTGTACAAGATTTCCCAGTCAGTGAAGCTTCTATGAAAGATCAGAACAAGAAGTCAGCACATATGAGGTTGTGGCACCCATTGCCAGCTAGAGCCAGCTTTGTCCAATACCTATTGGAATGCTGGAAAGTGCAGCTTGCAACCTTTTTATTAGGATCTCTGGGAGCAATGCTGGGAGACCTGCTTCTCAATTTTGTTTCTCTAACATCGCTGTATGGTCCTGGTGCCACTCAGCATCTCGGACTCCACCGGGATCTGGGAGAAATTTAACCCCCTGATGCAATACACTTTTTTTTTTTTAGATCAGATGGGTTTTTTTTTTCTCCTGGAGTTTAGCAGTTTGATGGCCAAAAGGGCTGTCCCGTGCTCTGAAGCATGCTCTTGCCTCTGCAGAGCGAAGCACTGCACAGGGAAGTAAGACGCAGCTCCATGTCAGCGCCACAGGGAGGAGAGCACAACGCGCTGGGCTGGGTGCTCCTGGCTACCATTACCAGAAGGACAGAGCACAGCACAAGCACTCATTTATTGCTAGATATCAGCTGTGCTTAATCATCCATGGGACTCTGAGATTCAATTCACATCTACTTAATCAGCAGCTCTCCCATTTATTGGGATATTTGGCCACTTCAGTTCAAAACCTGATTTATTAATATCAAAACAAATTATCAACTATTACAAATATTCTCTGAATGCCTCCCTAGGATACTCACTAATAGGGGTTCTTAGAAAATACAAAACATCAACCCTTTAAATACTTGGGCCTTCACATAAATTCTCTATGGCAAACAACATCAGGAACCCTTGGAATTTCAAATCCATGCACAATTCATTGTCTACTTGAAAAATCCTGTATTTAGATTTTAAAAAACCCCACCCTTTAATATTTTGGAATTGTAATGCTATTATCTAAAAATCCGCATACAATTTTATATGCATTTGTCTTACCAATTTTCAAGGCCCAACTGTTCTATTTGCAAGTATACCATTTGCTTTCCTAAATGTCAGTCGGAAGAAACACGGTATCAGCCTTCATCACTTCTCTTCACTTGATGGCTAGATGTCTGTGGCCAGAAGACATGCCATGGACCTGCCACAGTCCCTTCTGTCGGATTTCACTTAGTCATTAAACCTTAAAAACAAACCAAAAACCCCACGAAACAAAAACACACCCAAAACCTAACTGAATTGCAGCAAGACAAGTGTTCCAGTGAGTTTCACCGTAGGGGAAGGCAAGCTGTATTAACTCTATTAGTTATTTCTAAACCCCAAGACCGTGCTTCTAGTGATGGTGTCACCCGGGAACAAGGATCTGCATTCACATCACACACGTACTGCAATACAGGGACAAGATACAGGTGCATCCCCCTCCCCGCTCACCTGGGCAGGGCGCAGGTGCTGACAGATCAGACCCGCACCCACACACGCATTTAGTGCCTCGGTAACATGTAGGGTAATTCCTTGATCAGTTTTTGATAGCATCTGTGTTTCTGAAGCTGCACAAGTGCAACAAATGGTTGGGGGATAAGAATCTTCTACCACATCAGCAAACCACCCCCCCTCACCCCACCCCACCCCCACAAACACCACAAATGCCCCATACCTGGAGACATTTCAGTGCCTGAATTATCAATAAAATAAGCATGATAATGAATAATCTATGTTAAGCATTTTCTTACCCTTTATTTTTTCATTATGATCAGAAGAGGAATATGATTAACAGCAGTTTAACTTTAGCAGTACAATTTCAGTATTAAATATAAAACTACACTGCAAGTTGATGTATTTTAAAAATGGTTATGTATACTCTAGCCTTAAAGTTATGTATCAAATACAAGTAACTCAATTGTTTCTTGCCTTGACAATTAACATATCTAACAAATTTCAACAAGCCAGACATCCATCTTTTCCATTAAAAAAAATAAGCAAGCACACCAACTCTTTTTCATAGCAAGGGGGTGTAAAGATTCAACACTTTCCTGAGTGTTGTGCAAAGAATAACAGGTTTGAAAAAGTCAGTTAAATAAGTGTAATGATAAATCTAAAGCTAAGCTGGAGGACCTTTTGATTAACTTCATATTTCATATATTACTTGCATCAGTTGAGAGCAACATGAGTTACAGAACTTCCATGAAAACAAGCCACTTACAAGCAGGTGGTTAAGCTTGATCAGTTTATTAAAAGGATTATATGACACGGTTGCCTGCAATAGCAGGGGACTGGATCTGATGACCCAGGAAGTTCTTTCCAGTCCCATGTTTCTAAGCCATGCACCAAGTGTATCCAGCCCACACTTTCACAGTTGGAAAAAGCTAAAGCCACACACACACACTCATAGGGGGGGAAAAAAAAAATCCTTGATGACACCATTTCATTTCTCTAGATACTCACTATGCAGAAGGGAACAGAGCTAAAGTCCTGTACAGAGGATACATTTACTCGAGGTTGATGTGGTACTGAAGTCAGTTAATAATTAGATACCTCCAGGCAGATTCAGTTACAGGGCATACCAACACTGCACACTGCCAGACAATTTCTAGTCAAGCCAAAAACCTCCTGCAGGAACGAGGTCTCTTTGCTAGCAAGCACAGAGCACACCAAATAAGCTAAAAGCAGCTGTTCTTAAATGAACTACCCTACCAACCGTGAGTGAATGACAGCTAGATGGTAAGAAGCATTTACCTACTAGACAAGATCTCTCTGCACACTCAGGCAGAAGTAATTAGTTCAGAGCAGCAACCATTGCTCCTACCTTGCCTGTCTCTTGAGTACGTTCTCTTTAAAAGCTGGTCTACAGAATCAGTGCAGCCTCTCCCAAGCACTACTGAAGTAGAAGTTTGCAGCTGCCATGCAAGACTCCACTTTCAAATGGTAGTCAGACATTCCCATCACCATGGCCAGTTTGCTAAGACAGCATACACAGCCATAGCAAAAAGCCTTTGCAACAACTAGAGATTGCAACAATTGCCTACATTCAGCCCATCTAACTTTAGGCACTTGGTTAAGGTGTCTAGGTCCCTAGTCACCCAGAACTCCCCCCCATCCCCCAGGAAAAACAAAATAAAAAAATAATCACTGAAGGCAGATAGTCTCAATTGCCTTCTGGAGGTGTCTCTTGACCCTCACTGAGCAAAGTTGCATTTCAAGCAACTAAGTTCTTAACACAGGCACCTCAGTTAGACAGGATGAATGGAGACTTGAACCTCTTTCAAGAGATAGTATCAGTGCTCTCCAAAACCAAAGGAAATTAGGCAATTAAGGTTTACAACTCCAGCTACATTTGGAAACAAACTTAGTCAAGTAATTAGGCCACAGTCCCTCCCAAGCATAAAAGCCTTCCACATGGAGGCTCTGCTATTTAAAAAAAAAGAAGAAAAAGCAGTCATCTCTCAAAGAAAGAAGAGTGGACATGGCTGCTTCACCACTCATTCATGAAGAAGCTGAAGGATCAGAGAACACTTACTCAGAGACCTGGAATGACTAAGCACTGCTAGTGCATGCAAAGCAGAAGTAACAAGATGGTTTTTAAATTAACCCTAGTCCTCTTCTCCACCCCACAAAATTCATGCAAGTGTTTGAGAAGATAGTCAAGACATAACAGCCCCAGTTTCCAAAAAGGCTTTTTTTTTTTACATATTGTAAAAGAAATGTCCTTGTATTTTCTTTCTGTGGGTAGAGAAATGCATTTTTGGCATGTTTGAGAATCATAGATATCTATGAAGTCCATGCTGTTTAAATTCTCCAACTGGTTTCTATAACCTGTCAAAAAAACCATAAGCAACCTATACATGTTTCCCCAGTATTGACATGCATGCTCAGAGCTCTCCACTTTAGTGAAATGAGGTGTTACTTCTGTGCTGATAGTTGACGAGTCAGCATTACACGACTTTGAGACCAACTAAATTAACATTGTCGTAATATGAAAGGCAAGCACAAGTTCATTTATTTATAGCAAAGGTCTTGGGTTACAGGAGGTCAGTTCTTGCCATCTTGAAAAGATAGGGGATAACTTATTGCATACATGTGCATTATAATTTAGCAGCAAGTCATTCATAGAAACACTTCCCTCCTACTGCTTTTTTGGTTTATCTCAATTATATATATATTTTAGCTTTACAAAGCATTTAACACCACCTTTAAGTTAATGGTCTTTTATTGGAAAAAAAAGACTAGCATTTACAACTTGGAATGGACATAAATTGTAATATCTTGAACAGCGATGTTGGTAGTTGTGCTGAAGTCCACAGGCTACTCCGCCAGCTCCAAGTCATGGTACAGAAGGTTTTAAAAATATGAGAGTCCAAAGATGCTCCCTTGGTGAAGATTTCTTAAAAATTTTGTGAACGGTAACAGCCCGACACCCGTTTCACTATAGTGCAATGCAGACAATGTTAAACCAGTATTTTAACACAGACATGCCATCCATAGTTAAGATTATCATATTTTTGGAGTACACTGCTACGTACAGGAGAACCATTCAACCTTTAGGGCATTTTCTAAGTTTTGCATCCTTCAACCATTTTGCTGCATACCATCCTGAGGTATAAACCAATTTTAAAGTAAACCAGCTATGACAATTTATACTACAAATTGAACTAGAATCCACTGTTGAACAAAAGAGTGGATCCTTTAGGTTGTTTTTTTCATTTTAATACAAATGTCTGACTGTGCTCAATTGTCAAGCTGCATGCATGAAAAACTGGCCAGCCCAAACAGTGTAATAGTCATTAGCAAATGGAACTTTTGAGTTCACTAAGTGCTTCCTTTTTTATTTTCAAGGTAGTACAATTATTTATATTGTAAAACTGATGTTTATCTTTTGGGGACAGGACCACCAACCATTACATGCAGTTTGTGGACAGAAGGTATTTTGACATTCAGTTTTGCTATACAGAAACAGAATGAATAAATGAACATTTTTTTTGCAAGAGGTAAGTAAAAGATTCAATTTGATTCTTCTAGAGGAAAAAAGGTGTAAAGGAGGTCTCTTCACTTTGCAGTCATCATCTGTACGAATTCTGAAAAGATAAAAAGTCACTGTGGTTTATTGTCTCCAGAGTACTTCAACTGATAAGTCTTAAACGCACCTGGCATAAAAAAGCCCTTCTCACTGCATCTAAGCTATTGTCCACAAAAGTAGACAACCAAATAAACTGGTGTCTCAAGTACTAGAAATTAATGCCCTATGCAACAGGCTTTCACTCAATCTGAGTAATGGTTTTGAGTCAAGACAACCATCTTTTTACCTTCATAGTTGACTTGCCCATCCCCGTCAATGTCTGCTTCTCTGATCATTTCATCTACTTCTTCATCTGTTAGCTTTTCTCCTAAGTTTGTCATAACGTGACGTAGTTCTGCTGCACTGATATAGCCATTGCCATCCTGTGAGGAAAGAGTTGCACAAGGTCATGATCAACAATCCTGACATTAACTCTTAAACTACATCTAGTTTTCCCAGTAACTTCTGAACTAGCCTTATGGTACTTTGGGGACAGGTATACAGGCCTGGTACACTTATAACCCTACAGTATGTACTACTCTCATTGCCTTATGAAGCATGCATGCCACCATATCCTTCTATACAATTACTGTACTGTAATAATAACCACATGCCTGATTTGTAGTTGCAATAAAGTATTTTTAATGCTCTTGAAGAACAGCTTTCAAAAACAAACCCAGAAACAAAATGTTTTTTGTTTAGTCTCTGCTGCCTAAGCAAGGCCAAAAAAAAAAGGCCAAAAAAAAAGGCAAAACTATTTCCCCACCAGCAAGGGTAAAGTCAGCTTTCTCTTCTATGTAATACTACCTCTATAACCAGACTGCAGGTGGCTAGGTTAGGCTTCTTGGCTAAGATGATACAGAACAAATCTTCAAAGAAAGCATTTAAATTCTACTCCAAAGGCATTGTGAAAAGCTTTGTAGCAAAACAAAAGAGAGAATAACACTTCTAAGTCAGTGTTCCCACACGTAATATCCAAACCTAGAGCTCATCTCTAGCCATTTCAGAAGTCTGTCCCCTTCCATCTACAGAAGAATATACTAGCTTATATCAGGAGTTCATATGGCCATCACCAGTAGGTAAGCTACCTCAGGGACTTTAAACACAAGTCTAGTCTGCAGAAATAATGCCATAGGATAGATGACGTACTAACCAAAGAATCAAACATTTCCTCTAGCACCTCTTCCAGCTAAATACTAGAGACTGCCACTTTTTTCTGTAAAAAGAAGTAGCAAGTCCTTCTTCCACACATGCGTGTGCAACAGCTTTGCAGCTACACCAGTCACTGCTCAGCACAATTCGCATAACATCTCTCATAACCAAGCAATCCAAAGAGGGGAACCCCTGTTCTAGAAATAATTGACATTTGTCATATATGCCCAGGTACCCTCAGAGAAGAGAGGAGTTGAGCTCTTAAGTTTTCCTCAAAGCAACCTCAAAGTCCACATCTTGAAAACAGAACATGTAATACTTCATGTCCCTCTAAATACTGACGACATCATGTTGGCTTCAAAAGCTTCCATACAGTATAAAACTTGTGCATATGTGCACGTTTCCCCATTCCCCCGAAGTCAGAAGATACAGAAAAGCCTCCATCCCTCCACCAGTCACACCCCCCCCCCCAAAACCCCCCCCCCAAACAACCCACCCCACAAACATTGAGTTCTGCTCATCTCTGCTCCTAAGGAAAGGCCAGAAAGTTTTCCTCATGAATAAGCCCAAAGCTTAGACCTGCTGTGTAAATCAGGTAGAACCAGCCTACAAAAGTCCTAGTTCTGTTTCCAGAACAGTCCCTGCTCTGTTTCAAATCCCTCTGCATCTATTAAAGAAGTTTTTTCCTTCTAGACAAGAAGAGAGAAAACACTGAGAAAAAAATGGACATCATCACTGCTTCTAAAGAATATTTGTACTTTTAATAATACCTTGTCAAAGACCCGGAATGCCTCACGGATTTCTTCCTCGCTGTCTGTGTCCTTCATTTTTCTGGCCATCATGGTTAAAAATTCAGGGAAGTCAATAGTGCCATTGCCTTAATGAAAAGAAACTTCCAAAAATTAAACTTCCATGCTTTTCTTTACACACAAAAAAAGCCTGGCATTTAATTTTGCCAGGGATAAGATTGACAGATCCTCTGTAAGCCATTCTTATAGAACCAGAACTTCTCCCTCATTTGCTACCACTGCCTTTTTGCTATTACAGTCTGCAGTAGCCACTGTCATCACAGCATTTCAGCACAATGAACTCAACTGTTGCCTTCTCTGCAGGTCAAGCCATACCATTTGCCACACAAGTGGCAAGCAGAATGTTGGTCTGATGCTCCAAGGTTAACCAATACTACTTCAAATCACTCCCACAAAATTAATCGTTTAGTTTCTTTAGAATTTCCCAATTGCTGTGGGAAATTCCAGAAGTAGAAGTGAATGTATTATAAAGCTGGCAATACAAGTCCAAGATATCTAAAGTTTGAGAAACTTTCATTTCCTTAAGCTGCTCATAAATACTTGTTCCTTGTTAAAAATCAACTTCCTTATCAACATATACTGTACACCACAAATGTAATGCACCATTTTAAGGGGAAACAAGGATCTGCAAATTCCAGTAATGTGAGAAAAGCTACCATTATTTGGTATTTCTGATCAGTTTTGCCGTGAAATACCTGTAAAAACACATACTGCTAAACTTAAGATCCCTGGTAAAATTCAGGCCTCATTCCTAAGATTTTTAAGTTCTTCATTCAAAGTAAGGATTCAAACTTCAGGCTGCTCAAAGCTATGAGAAAAATGGTATGGTGAAAAACCAAGCTCTTTAAAACAGCAGAAACTAGATTTGTACAGTCAGGATTCAGCCCTACGTGCCAAAAACCACATTAAGTAGTTCACTGCGCAACTAAGATCTACCCATTGCTTGAGGGAAACATACAAATTCATTGGGTAAATACTGCAAAGCAGTGAAATAAATGCAGTTTAAGAAAACCTTTGCATCTTAGGAATTCCAGATTGAGACATACACAGCTATTTATCATCACAGACAGCTTTATCTACCAGCTAAATGCAAACACAGGTCTTGTACTCAGCTTTGAAAAAAATCCTCAATGAACATGCAGAATAAGAGCAAAACATTCTGCCATACGACAAGTTTAAATAGATGGGCAGGCATACTGAAGTCTTCAGACTGAAGTCCTCAGTCTCCTTTCATTTTCATCTATCAGTGCAGCATTGTGAACTGCTGCCTAGAGAAGCCACTATACACAAACTTGACGTAGCACTGCAAACCCTGAAATTTTTCACCATAAAGATGCAAGAGTTAACAATTAAGGTCAACTTACACTTTTAGGAAAGAAGTTGTAATTAATGTAGTTGATAATCAGATAATCTATACTCTTGCCAGTATACTTTCAGTCTCCTTTTACAGAGATATTAGAGAAAAATCACTACAACCACCAACATACAAAGCCTTGACAGAACTGAGCAGGGGAAAGCATTTTTCCTTTTTATAACTGCTAGCCTGTCTGGAGTCTCAGAAACAAAATGTGCAGTTATCCTTTCTGCCATCTATTTAAAACAATTCCAATAGATTTGATACAGGAAGGTTTACCTGCTCTTGCCTCCAATCCCTCCCCTCTATCTATTAGTGATCTAATACAGTACATTAGACTATACAGTCTCTCCCTGTTGCATTTTCAATTCTTGGAAGTTCAGCACTGTTCCACTCCTACCACATTTTTGGCCTTAGACAAAACCACAGACATTAGTACAACTATTAAGACCAACATGGGCTGATGAAACATGTATAGAAAAGCTGGGTGGAAACACAGGTTAACAGCCAGTCAGGGCAAGTCAGATAGCAATAGGAAGCCTGTGACCCATAAATTATTAAAGACAAACAGCATATCTTTGTTTCAGTCCATCTCCTTTAGATTCTCACTAATACTGCTAGCATCTTTGACTGCTGTGCAGAGAGCAATCAAAAAATTGACACCCCTCTGAGTTTAGATTCTATCGAGTATTTTGAAACTGCTTCAAGAGATCAATGTGACAGAATCTTCTCTATGCAGTCCAAGCCCAGATGTGGAGATCATACATATGATCACAGCGCTAGTAACTACCTTTCCAACACTTACCATCAGCATCTACCTCGTTGATCATATCCTGCAATTCTGCTTCTGTGGGATTTTGACCCAATGACCTCATGACAGTTCCCAGTTCTTTTGTTGTGATAGTACCATCACCATCTTTGTCAAACAGGGAAAAGGCTTCCTTGAATTCTAGAGGCAGAAACAGTCCCAGTGTTTAGTAACATCACCAGCATGATAAAACTGCATACTAAAAATGTACTCCACTGGCAATGCCTGGTACAGTTTTAAGAAACATTTTATCCAACTAGCCACGTATTTTAAGAAACATTTTATCCAACTAGCCACGTATTTTAAGAAACATTTTATCCAACTAGCCACGTATTAAGAGAATTAACACTCAAATATTAATTAAAAAAATACTTGCAGTACCAATACAAAATTTGCATAGCATATTCAAATTTATTTCATGTGGCTATTTATCTGCATTACCACTGTATAATGCATTTCATCATCATCTTGCTTGAGGCACAGTTACACCATAAACAACAGCTGCTTGGGATAAATGAAGGGACCCACTCAGTTCCCTTCACCATTAACAGACTTAGAGGAACAATAAGTGTTGTCATTTACAACTCATTTTTAAGGCAGCAGACAATAAGAATTGACGTCAGCCACAAGTGGGTGACTGGTCTCCAGAAGGCCAAATAATACTCTTTCTCCTAACTAGTTTGAATTACAGACAGTCTGTTAGAAGTTACTTAAAAGACATTGGCTTATATTAATTTGTAATAAATCCATTTTAGGTTTATTTGTTGCCATTTCAAGTTTATCTTCACTTTATTAAAAAGAAAAGAGTACCTAGGTCTGCTTTGACTCCAAGAAGTTCGCTTGAGTCTAGCAATTATTTCTGTTTGCAAGAAATCTAGAAGGACTTGGCTCAAGTCTGAAAGTCTAAAAAGAATCATTATCTGTAGTCCAAGGAACAAGCAGTCTAAATTAAGAGGCAATGAACCAGTAATCTTCCAGAATTATTTTTTAAGTGAGTGTTTTTTAAAAAAGCATTAGCACAGATTTGAAATGGTCATAAAGTTTTTTTCCATTATGTTTGAAATAATACATTTTCTTTTAGTCACAAGGAGTTAGGAAAAAAATAATCATTTCTCAAGACACTTACCAGCAATCTGTTCTTCAGTCAGCTGATCAGCCTACACGAAGAATAGAACATTTTAGAATATTGTTTACCTCTAGCTATGTCAAGCCACAAGACACTTCCTTTAGATGTCGGTAGTGATTTATCATTACTTCTACAAAGCCACTTTCAACCCCTGGAATTCTGCCTCTGCAAGGAGATTCCACTCACCTACACCATGCAGCCGTTTCCAAAAGCAGATAAGCTAACGTATTTTGAAACTGCACATGAAGAACCAGGCATGCCATCCTTCGACTTGGAGAATCCAATCTGGTCAAGTGAAGGACACTGGGCAGGCTCCTTGCAATTGGTCAGAGAGGCATGAAATCCTTAATGACATATGTTTGGAGTTTCACATCACATCAGATGTAATTTCCAGCAGTATAGTGACCCTAATACTGCGTGGGGGTACTTGCACATTAGTGGGTTAACGACAAGCGTGCCACCTAGTGATCTAACACTACTGAAGCCTGCCCTCCCCCACCACACTGCATCAAGTATTAGCCTACTGTAAGCTTAACAGAAAGGACTGTGCTATGATATTAAGGGGCATTCCTACTCAGTATTATGGAGAATTTTTGCCATCTCTGACAAAGAAAATGCCAGTTTTCAAGCACCACGTTATTTTTCCATTCCTCCAAGCAGTTTAAGGTGCCTCACACTGTAATGTGGGCTCTTTTACACATCCTTTTAAGTGTCAAGATTTAAAACGCCTGCTTATGACCTTCTGTACATCAAGAGGCCAATGCTGCATCCAAAGGTATACAGCTCTGCTGACAATTAAGTGGGCTTTCCCAGAGCTTTAACTGTGCTAGCCACATCCTTCCAGAAGCCTCTCCCATCTGTATGGATAGAGCATCCCAAAGAGCTCCGCTGTTTGGACTCGAAGGAGCTAACCAGTTTTTTGTGGAAAAATACGCATTTTCCTAGCTATTAAAAAAATAAAGCCACCTGGATTTTACACACCTAGTCACAGATACTGGAGAATACAAGGTACTAGTGCCTTTTAATCTCATTTTATTGGACAGCTTTTACTAGTACAAGAGAGAATTTTTGTAGGTCAGAGAAAGCAGGCATCTTGTAACCCTTTTGTCCTAAAATACCATTATTCAAGCATAAAAACCACTTAACTGCAGTAAAAAGCAACAAATACAATGAAGAATTACAGGCTATACAATCTGTTAAGCTCTTGCACAGGGGAATAGGGTAGGGTTGAAAGCCTGCTGTATATATTAAGTGACATAAACAGATTTCACCTGTAAGTAGGTGTTGGGCACTTTTTTAACGTTTTAATGTCTGTGTGTAATGATTAAACAATTCCCCATATGCACAGTGGGTAGGAGGGGGTGAAAAGGGTAGAAGTGCTAACTGCTAAAGACAGAGTTCAAATTTAATAAAGTTTTTTTAATAGCAGAAAACTTGTGTTCAAAATCCAGTTCAACTTCCCGCACTGTCTTTTGTGCTTTTCCAGAAAATGCGAGGTTTTACTTAAAGATTATCTAAGGAATTTACATAACAGACTCAATGCCCTGCAGAACAGGAAACAGAGCCACACCTCGGCAAAATCCTCCAGCCCACAGCACCGGCTCGCTGCCCCATTAGTTGGGGCTGACCGGGTGTTTCTAAAAATCGGATTTCGAATTTAAAAAAAAAAGCAAACAAACCCAACAACTTCGCACACACCGCGATACCAGAAGCGCGCAACGCAGCCCTAAACCGCCATAGGGTTCACCTTCCGAGCAACAGGCACAAGCCCTGCCCGCTCGCCCTGGCTGCGGGACAAAGGTCCCCAGGGCTGGAGCCATCACCCCACCCAGCCATGTCATCAAATCCTGTCCCGGTGATGTCAGCCTTCCCCGACGGGAAGGGGAGATGGAGAGACAGAGCCGAGGAACACCCAGATTGCCAAAATGCCTGGTTAGAGATCAGCCTGCAACTGTTTCGCCGCTCTCGTAGGAAGCCAAAAACCACCGGGAAAATCACAGCCCTTCCTCTTGCCCTCTTTTGCGAGGAGCCCGGGCTGGCGCCGCAGCGCCCGGCGGACGACGTGGCTGCTCCCGGAGCCCACCCGCGGTGGATTTGGGAGGGCAAGGCGGAGGCTCGCAACCCTCCCGGGGCAGGGTGGCAGCCACCC